GTACAATGGTTCGTCTCCAGTAGCCGACCAGTATATCTACCAGTGTATCGACCGATTGGAGCGTATGTTTGACATTAGAAAAAAGCACCGCAACTATCGCTAACAACAACAACACCAACGGTTCAATCGATTTTATATATATAGTATATATACCAATGAATACCAGTGGAAACCGTATGTATTGTTCACTTATGTCGAAATCATTATCCAAAGATACGGACACACCGTACGATTCGTTTCAATTGATAGATCAAGTACTTCATCTGTTATATTGAAATTTAATTAATTAATTAATTAATAATAATAATAATTTTATTTAATTCAGTTTATTTAATATTGTTTTTATTAAAACATTTTGTAATTGTTTTCTATAGTATTTTTAAAGATTATACTGTATAACATTGATATACTATAGTATATGCAAACTAGAGGGAGGAACCGAAACGGTTCGGTTTCATAAAACCGAATGAAACCGTAACCGAAACAGTTTTATCACGGTTTTGGTTTTTGTATTAATTTATTGCAATTGATTCAATTGATGTCAATATTTATGTATTTTATATTAACACATGTTATACTATATAATAAAATTGACAATAATTTATCAAATAATTAGTATATAAATGTTTTGTTTTTGTTTTTATGAAATTCTAGTTAATTAACAAAAAACAAAAACAAAACAAAAAACATAATTAATATATTTTTAATTGATTTTTATTTTGCTTTTTATTATAATTAACAATAATTGTCAACACATTTTGTACATAATTTTATTTTGTTATTATAAATACCATTAAATTATATCTAATTCATTAATGTAATAATCAATAATATATTAATAAAATAATAAATTTATATATAATATTTTTTTTAAACAATTTATATTATTCTAGAAAATAGTTAATAGTTAAGTAGCAACAAAAATATATATATCAGTATGTTTTTTTTTAAAAACTTTAATAAACTAATTGTGTTTAATAATAATAAGTTTTAATTAATTTAGTGTACATTTTAGTTGCATTGGACTATACAGTAATAGTGACAATAGTTTCAAAAAACATAGTTTTATATAAAATTTAAAAAAAAACATTTGTGTTTAAGGACTACTGTATATAATTTTCAGCATTGATACTGTATATACAGGTACTTATTTATGTAAACTTATTTTTAATTATTTATTTAAATATAATATACTGTATACTGTGATATAATTTATATATACCTATTCATAGTTGTATTTTATTCATATAAATACAATTTAAAACATAATAAGCAAATAATAATTATTTTTAATTTAAATTAATATATTTAATCACTATTTATATATAATATATATAAATACAAAACTTATTGTATTGATTATTATGTCAATACTTATAAACTTTATTAAACCCATTTAATATAATTTTAAAAAAATACAATAATTATTTTAATATAATTATTTTGTTTTTGTTATGAAATTCTAGTTAATTAACAAACAAATAACTAATATATATATTTTTAATTCTATTTATTATAATTAACAATAATTGTTACACAGCTTTTGCTTCAATATTATTTAGTTTTAGTTTAATATAATTATTAATGAAAAAAAATTAATAATATATTAATAAAATAATCAATAAATATTTCAACAATAAATAATAGCAAAAATATATTTAAATTGTCTTTGTATAAAATATTTATTGAAATATTTTTAAAAATAAATTAGATTTCAATGTTTCAACACTTTTATTGTATTTTTTCAAACTAATAATATAATGGATAGAAACTATTATTATGTTATATAATAGTATCCAATAACTAAATAGGCTATTGTTTAGAAACTTTAATTTAATAACATTTTATAATAAAAAACAAAAAAATTAAAAAAAAACTATATTTTTATGTCTAATATAAATATTTTGATATAAAGTTAATTTGAATTTTATAATATTTATTACAGTAATTATATTAATTATATATCACTAATTGAAAATAATATTTTAAAAAAATTATGACAATTTAGCAATTAATTAATTAATTATTTTGTTTTTATTAGACATTTTAGTTTAGTTTAAAAGTTAATTTAATAATACATAATGAGATATGAATACAAACTAAGTAATATTTTTTTAATATATACTGTTGATTACATACATAATTATATACTACCAGTATATGTATGTGTACGTAAACCCATGTTATTGATAATTATTATTTAATATGTAAATATTATATAACTGTTATTTTAGCCTTGAATGTATTGCTAATATAATTTGCATAATTTAAGTTAAAACTAATGTAAGCCTTATATGGTATATACAATTATTTTCATGAAAACTTGTTTTAACAAATATTTAATAACTAATATTGAATGTAATACGCCATTCAGGTTTTGGTGTTCAACTGGTTGTGGTTAAAATTATATGTATAGTTTTACTATACATTATAATTTTTCTTACTTAACTTTTTATTGAATTAAATAAAGATATTTTATACCTATTAATTTTATAGTATAATCAATTGGATAGTATTACTTAAAAAGTAAGTTTATATTTACATTGGGTTGAACACTGGCGGTCGGTGCCAAACAGTACTGACCGTGGAAGTGGCCTCAAAAAAGGCCTGAATCGGTAATATCGGTGAGGCCACATCTTATGTGGTGGCAGCGGTGCTGGTCAAAAAGCCGCACGCGCTTTATTGAATATTAATTGGTAGTGATTGTCGGACCTAGCGAGGGAAAGGTAGGTGCCGATATAGTCACAGGTAACTGGGAACCGCCGTTAAAAAGGGTCGGTTTGAACAAACCGGGTTCCTGGTCGGTCTGGCCAATAGGTCGTGTCAATAATTTTTTTTATCCGCTGGATTGCGGGCCTGAAAACCAAAATGTTTTCAGTAATTTTTTTTATTAATATTTAATTCAAGAGATTAACGCAAGTGTTTATTTTCTCAGAGATGGGATCGAAAAGTCCCGAAGAGACAGCATTAACGACAACTCAAGAGTTGGATACGCTGATATCCGAAGAGATTCAACTAATACTACCCGAAGAGTATAACCAATTGTTTGAAGAGTTAATTAGCGAAAAAATCGCTGAAGAAATATCTATAGAAAATGGCGCATCAAGCAGTGACCTTGGAGAGTGCGACATAACCATACCTATTGAGTCTATCACTATTGAAGTGCAATCCGACGCAGTTGCCGATAACGATATAACAGTCGGCACAACAATACATGATCGTTTAAATTATGATGCGATAGTATTACCATATAAAACTCAGGAAGTCATCGATCGTAACAAACGATTAAAGACATACAAAAATAAAGATGACGAGAATAACAGCAACAAAAAGAAAAAACAAAAGACATCACGCAAATCAAAAAGTTACGTACAAGAGGTAGCCGTTAGACCAAAATTATCTGCAAAATTAAATTCAGTAGTTGGCAAACAAATGACCGTTACCAACAACAAACCCGTTAACAACAACAAACCCGTTAACAATAACAAAAAAGTTAACCACAACTATGAAGTCGTTAAGCCCAACATATTTGCAAAGCGTGAACCTGCGGATGGTTTTTTTAAATTGCCATCGTTCGGACAAAGGAGATTTGATATAAAAAAAATATCTCATGATATGTACCCTAAATTTTCGTTAAAACCGAGACGGTATACATTGACCGGTAACAATACTATCACAGCGTTTGTAACATCAACCGATTGTTTTTATGTGGGTTATAGCAATGGTCGCATTAGTAAATATCATTACTTTTCAGGAGTGGAGTTGACACCATGGTTTAATAATGTTGTCAATGAAAAGGTTATCGATATTAAGCCAAAGACACCTAAAGATTACGTTTTTGTTATAACCAATAACAATATCATGCAATATTCAGAGGAAACGGGGGATCGTATATACAAACAATACTGTCGTATACCAATTGTTACTGCTATCACTGAAAGCTTTTATAAACTGGTGTTTCTTCGAAACGGCAAAGTATATCAACTAAAAATGCAAAACAAAAAATTTTGTGGTGGATTTCAAGTTGCTGACCTGATGTTGACTGTACATGGTGTGACCTTATTAGATCACAATGACCTGTCAAGTTTTGTGCCATGTATTGTACAGTTTGAAAACAAAATTGGAGTGATTGTTTTCGAATATGTTCAACGAAATTTTATTCGTGTTAGTCGACGATTTTGGATCAAAAATGATGCCATACTAGGCGGACGATTATCACTTGCAATGAGTGAAAATTATCTCTTTGTTGCTGACACCTACATAACGACAGCCGATAAAATATCCAATGTTGTGGCCGTTTATCATAATGAAGGACTTAAATATAGTATCGGACGAACATTCGGTATACTGGGCAAACAAGTGATTCGTTTGCAAATAAGCGACAACAAACTCGTCGTAATGTCAGAGCCGATACAGATAGAGATTTACAATACAAACACACAAATACTCGAATATCTTGTCCCGGCTTATTACCCTTTTATAAATTTTGTTATTATGAATAGCAAAGCTATTCACTTCACACAATCTGGTGTTGGTCAGATTATTGACCTCAATAATCACAGACTCAATAAAGAGGCTCGATTTATTAGAGTTAAAGATGAACTACGGGTTGCGAAAATCAAACCAAGTGAATTGGTAAACACCAGAGGTAATCAATCTATTTTTTATAACCCGTCGAATCTTATGTTAAAGAGATTTCGGGAGGTTTATGGAGTTGAAATATATGTCAACAAACCACGAATGGCTAATAGTGGATTATTTGTTAGTTCACTTTACATACCTGATTTAGGTATTAAGTTTACAGCAAAGGGTATATCAATAAATAAAACTAATCTAAACATGTGCTATAAATTGCATAAGAGTTATTGTGACAAGTTGTTGACTATAGATCAAGTCAAAATTATCAAATAAATAAAATTACAATGTAACTAATGTCGTGTTGTTTATTAACAGAAAATAAAACATTTGACAAATCCTATATTTATAAAGACTTATTTGGTGTGTTTCTGTATGAAATGCAAACAAAACGGTTACAATTTTAGACATCATCCATACAATTGTTATCGGTGCTACATGTGTGGTAATGACGGCCATACAGAAAAAAGTTGTAAGGGAAAAATAAAACAACATCAAGGAACGGCCAGTGGTCGCAAGCCATTAATTATCAACAAGGATTTATTAACGAAATACAAATACTTGTCACTCGATTTGGAAAAATGAAAAGGACAAAGAATCGGTACAACAGTATTTCTATGAAATACTGGCACTGATTGAGTCATATGCCCCAAAAATGGATGTCGAGGAACAGATGCGAATAATTGTCGAAAACCTAGAGCCAAGACTACAGAATGAGGTTAATCGCAATTTGATTACTCATAAATGTACAGCTGTCGAAGAACTATTCTCTGTTATTAAGGGTAGTGACGACTTTATGTCAAAAGCTCGAAAAGATAGAAACTTTACAGATAACAGACGGCCGAGATATGAACGGGTACAGTACGCAGAAGCCGTCAAGTTTGGCAAAAAAACAGCCCAACCAAACACCCAGTATAAATTCGGACAACAAGTCAATAGTGGCCTACAGAATAAAACTGTTCGTACGGACAATACAAAGCCCGATATGATTAGCGTTGTCACACAACGTGTTATGAAACAGTTGAAAGGGACAACAATTGGGAACACTTATCAAAATAAAAACAAAACTTTTGATAAAACAAATAAAAATGTCCGATATACTTACGATAAGTATAAAAAACCTTTTCAAGACAGAAAAACTACTGGATGCTTTAATTGCGGAAAAGAGGGTCACTTTAAGAGAGATTGCCCGGAATTGAAAAAAGATCCAAAGAAAAATGAGGGAAACACCTCGAGACAAAATTAGAAGAGTGTACTAATTTTGTCGAAGAAGAAATACACTCAATACTAAACATATATAACGACGACTTACCGTACGAATGTATTAAGCCCACTTCTGATAATAACGAGATTACAAAATTAATTAAAGTTCAAATTAAAATTGAAAATAAAATAATAAATGCTATTATTGATACTGGCAGTACAGTATCATTAATCAAAAACAGTTTAATCAATTCACTCGACATACAACCTGATCAGCAAATTTCAAGAAAAATTAAATTATTAGATAAAAGTGTACAAATTTTAGACGAATCAGTTGACTTAAAATTTGAACTCAAAGAAATGATATTTGTTCACTCATTTTTGCTGTACGAAGGTATGTACGATGATGTATTAATCGGACATGACTTTCTTAAAGCAAATAACGTAAATATTGATTTAGAAATTGATGTCATTAATTTGCCACCTCCACGTTATCGATCGGGCGGATTTGGGGTCTATACATTCAAAAATGTTTTAATTAAAAAGAGATCAATAAAAAAATTGAAAGTCGTTTCAAACTATAACAAAATAAATACTAATAATTTTGTTTATTTTGTGCCAAATAAACACTTTATTGATACAACAAATTTAAGTATTAATTCAACAATTCTAGAGTTGAACAACTCAGTTACGAAAATAATAGTTTATAATAACAAATCTTATGGATATAAGATATCTGAAAAAACTTTAATTGGGAAATTCTACGAAATACCCGAAAGTGAATTAATGATAGACAAAGTTAATGTTGTCTGTGATGACAGCAAAGAGTCTATTGATCTATCAATAATTAAATATGAATCTGATGACAGTAAACAAACTTTTCAAAAGTTACTTAACAAATATAAACATCTGTTTGGAACTACAATTGGCAATATTAAGGGAGCAAAAGATATTGAATTAACTATTAATACTGGTAATGCTCAGCCAATAAAACAGAGGGCATATCCTACAAGTAAATCAGAGAAAGATGAAATTAAAAATCAAATAGATGAGATGTTAAGAAATGATCTCATAGAAGTTTCATACTCTCCATGGAGTAGCCCAGTTGTATTGGTAACCAAACCGAACGGTAGTTACAGATTTTGTGTAAACTACAAAAGGCTAAACGATGTTACTGTTAAAGACAATCACCCATTACCACGGATTACAGAAACTCAACAATTATTGAGTGGATGTGAATATTTTTCAAAGATAGATTTATTGTCAGGCTATTGGCAGATAAAGGTTGCCAAAGAAGACAGACCGAAAACTGCATTTATTACTGCATACGGTCTATATCAGTACAAAGTCATGCCATTTGGCTTAACCAATGCGCCGGCATGCTTTCAACGATACTTACAATATGTCCTTTCAGATTTGTTGTGGAATTCATGTGTTTGTTATATTGACGACATATTAATTTTCTCCAAGACATTTGATGAACATATCACTAGATTGGAGTTAGTATTCAAAAGATTGGATAATTTTGATCTTAGAATGAATGCTGAGAAATGTATATTTTTATCTAAAGAGATTGAATATTTAGGAAATATTATCTCTAAAGATGGCATAAAAGCAAGTACCAAACATTTGCAAGCTCTAAAAAATTATCCAATTCCAGAAAACCAGAAAGATATCAGAGCTTTCTTGGGTCTAACTGGATTTTACAGACAGTTTATTAAAAGCTATGCTGACATTGCAAAGCCTTTAAGTGATTTATTAAAAAAAATGTAATAAATTTAATTGGACAATGGAATGCACAAAAGCATTTGAAACATTAAGAGACAGGTTACTATCTGAACCGATAGTAGGTTTATATGATCCGGAAGCGCAAAACATACTGTATACAGATGCGTCTGATTACGCTATGGGTGCAGTTTACGCTCAAATTCAAAACGGCAAAGAAAAAAATATTGCCTATATTTCTAAATTATTTAATAATGCTGAAGTTAACTATAGTATCTCAGAGAAAGAACTAAGAGCTATAGTTTGGGCATTACAGAAATTAAGAGAATTTCTATTTGGTTCCCACGTGACTATACGGACTGACCATTGCTGTCTATGCTATTTACCAAGGATTCGAAATCCTAATTCAAAGCTAAATCGATGGTCATTAATTATTCAACAATTCTCATACACAATTGAATATAAAAGTGGGAAAAAACATGGCAACGCAGATGCCATGAGTAGAATAAAATTAAATAATAACACAGAAGAAACAGTTGATGAACTGGAGTTTCCGGTGTTAGTGAACCTTGTTGTCGACATTAAGCAACAACAATCTACAGATACATGGTGTATTGACATAATGAATAAAATCAATAACACTTTGATTGATTTAAATAATCGCGATAATAAACAAATAAAAAAGTTTAAAATACATAATGATGTATTATATAAGTTGTCACACAATATAGTTGGTCATGAACAGCTATTGTTGTGTATACCAAAAGGTTTAAGACAAACGATTTTGAAAGAATGCCATGATGACCCGATTGGTGGACATCTTGGTGTTGGCAAAACTTATGGTAAAGTAAGTGAGCGGTACTATTGGCCAAATCAGGAAAAATCTGTACGCAAATATGTTTCAAGATGTGAAAGTTGCCAGAGATTTAAAAGAGATTATAATAAGCCAATAGGGATGATGCAAAGTATAATAACCACAGAGCCATTTGAGATATGCGGAATGGATCTGTTGGGATCGTTAACTGTATCAAACAACGGTAATAAATACGTTATCGTATTTATAGATTTATTTACAAAGTGGTTAGAATGTAAAGCGGTACCAAATAAGAATGCAACCACTATTGCAAATTGGTTAATAAACGAAGTCTTTCCAAGACATGGATATGTGAGAAAAATTATTACAGACAATGGACGTGAGATGACGGCAAGTATTGTCAAAGAGTTGATGGAAATTACTAACATAGAACATGCGTTTACAACACCATATTCGCCACAATGTAATGGTCAGGCAGAGAAAGCATGTGGACTGATCACCCAAATGTTATCACACTATTTGAACAATACATTTAGCGATTGGGACGATATTTTATCAAAAGTTGTATTTGCTTATAATACTGCAAAACAGTCGTCTACTAAGTTGACGCCGTTTGAGTTAGTCTATGGCCGGAGAGCAAGGCTACCGAGTGAAACAATAATTGACAAGAATGTCGTATACGAGACTAATGCTAATTATATACAAGATTTGAATGAAGCCCGTGAAATCGTAAAGTCAAGAATACGGGAAGCACAAGACATACAGAAATCAAATTATGATTACAATAAAACAGAAAGAACCTATCAAATAGGAGATAAAGTCGCCCGTAAGATAAAACCTAGAGTTAAGGGTATGTCCGAAAGATTTTTCCCAAAATTTATGGGACCCTTTGAGGTCGTTAAGCTATATGAAAATAAGTTGGTTTGTAAAATAAAGGACTTACAAAACACAAATCAAACTCCAAAAATAGTAAATATCAGACAATTGAAGCCATGGAATGAAGCGATTATCGATGAAATCGATTTTCCAAATAACAAATTAGAAGAAAAAGCAAAGGAAACTAGTGACGAAGAGCCATATGACGAATACTATTAGCATTTAAGAGGACTTAAATAATTTTAGGAGGGGGTAATGAGATATGAATACAAACTAAGTAATATTTTTTTAATATATACTGTTGATTACATACATAATTATATACTACCAGTATATGTATGTGTACGTAAACCCATGTTATTGATAATTATTATTTAATATGTAAATATTATATAACTGTTATTTTAGCCTTGAATGTATTGCTAATATAATTTGCATAATTTAAGTTAAAACTAATGTAAGCCTTATATGGTATATACAATTATTTTCATGAAAACTTGTTTTAACAAATATTTAATAACTAATATTGAATGTAATACGCCATTCAGGTTTTGGTGTTCAACTGGTTGTGGTTAAAATTATATGTATAGTTTTACTATACATTATAATTTTTCTTACTTAACTTTTTATTGAATTAAATAAAGATATTTTATACCTATTAATTTTATAGTATAATCAATTGGATAGTATTACTTAAAAAGTAAGTTTATATTTACATTGGGTTGAACACTGGCGGTCGGTGCCAAACAGTACTGACCGTGGAAGTGGCCTCAAAAAAGGCCTGAATCGGTAATATCGGTGAGGCCACATCTTAATATTATAAACAACAAAAAATATTTTTATTTTAAAAATATTATATATCTAATTGTTTTTATTTAGTAAATTAAGAAATAATTGTTACATTTATAATAAATTTCATTTAATATTACATTTTATATTATAATTAGATAATTAATAAGCAAATTATTTTATATTTTTGTTTTAATATTTAAAAATTATAATAATTAGTTTTTTTATCTATTTATTATATTTATAATATTTAATCAAATGTCCAATCAATTTGCGTATTATTAATATAAATAAATATTTTATTTTTTGAAACTTTTAATTATTGATAATTATTATACATTTATTTATCAATAGATATTATTATTAAAAAACTACAGGATTTAGTAAACTAACTCAAAATTAAATATTTATTGAATGTATAAATTAATAGATTATTGATACAAACAATTTTAATTATTTATAAATTATTAATTTATTAATCAAAAATAATCATATTTTTTTCTATAGACATTAATATTACAATTGAATATTTGTCTACAAATACTTACAGTCAATAATCTAATTAATAAAATAAATAATTTTTACATTTATATTAATTTTTTGCTTATATAAGCAAATTTTTTTAGCTTATATTAAATATGATAAATAATGTCATTAACTTAGATGTCATTAATTTTGTTAGATTTATAATATTATTTATAATGTAAATATTTAATGTAATGTAATATTACAGTAGTAATTAAATTAGTATTTATAAAGTCTTAAACACCTTAAAATTATTTGACAATATATAAGTAATAAATAATACAATTAACAAATGTTTTTTAAAATAATTAATAAATAATACTTTCTATTATATAATTAATACCAAAAAAAACAAATAAATTATTTGCAAATATATTGTAGATATTTTAATATATTGTTTTATTT